AAGATCCTCTGGATGGTGATCTGGGTTTCTTGTGACTGAATGGGCAATCTTTCCCCATAGTGCAGTTACCTTTCACGAAGTATTTGCATGGTATCTTCTTCTTGTCTGTACTCGGACTTCGGCTGCGATCCTTTCCATCACCTTTACCTTTCCCCTTTCCCCTTTTGTTCTTGTCTTCAGGATGCTTCTTGGGATTGGGTTTCGGCTTCACTGCAGCAGCGTCTTCTGAGACAACCTGTTCTTGTTGCCCTTTTGGTTTCTTCTTCGGATCAGCTGGTGCAGCTTTCAGTTTTGGAGCAGGTCCGCCTGGTTTGAGATTCTGAAAGATATTGGCCACATTCTTCACTGCCTTCTCCTTTTCCAGGATCATCCTGTCTTCAGTTTGCCGTTCGATGTGCCTTCTGATCATATCACGTAGATGTTTGTATGTCTTCTTGGCATCATCGTCGTTCATGCTGTTGTAGGCGCTGATGTCGTATGCCATGAGGTTTGAGTTCCTGATCTTTCTCCATAGGAGATCCCGAAGAGTTTCGTCGCTCGGGACGTCAACGGGCTTCATTCCTGCCAGAATCTCATCCCAAGTATGGAAGAACAACGATAAGTTCTTGTCTCCTTGATATTCTAGTTGGTAGAGGTGCATTGAAGTATATAAGACTTCCACATTTGATGTTGTCTTGAAATTCATAAGGATCAGGGCTAGGACCTCTCTTCCCTTTATGAGGCTTGATGTTCTCCCTTTTGCATTGATCCTCGTCCTCAACTTCATAGCTACACCTGAACCATCATCTTTCGCATCCATGACGACCTTGGTAAGAGCTAGGCCGAGTTTGGCATCGATTGAATGGAATCTTTGGTCTCCTGAGTCGACAAACTTGTCCGGATCAGGATCGTCCATGGCTTCTTTGATCCAGTCGATCCAGGGCTCTTGATCTGAATCATTGGCCGCAATGATGATCGATTGAATGAGATTTGCCTTCCATAGTCCAAGATCATTGATCCTGGGCCATGACGGAACGTTTATCTTTGATTCTTCCTTCCTCGATACTTTCATGATTGTAGAGGTTGCCGGTGCAAGATGAGATGAAGAGGATGCTTCTGCTTCTGAAATCTTGTCCCTCAATGATTTGTTCGCCTCGGATAGCTCAATTGATTTCTCCCTTTCCTCGGCGTACTCATTGTGGGTTTCGGCATACCATTCATACATCTCATCTCGGCTCTCTGTCATTTCATTGTACCCGTCCTTGTAGTGCTTCGCCTCCTCTTTTGCGTTCCGAATCTCATCTTCCTCGGACGCGTGGGTTGGTAACCCGCGGTCTCTGGAACTAGGACGCTTGCTGTACCGAGAGACTATGGGTGCCATTCGTGCTTCTGCTTTTAATTTCGCATTTTCCATAATGACATTCTTTGTCTCCTTCTGGCTTTCCAATAGTGCATTCTCCAGTTCTCTGATCTTCTGTTGAATTTCAGCACCATCATCGCCGAACATAGGAGCTCTCATCATATTCTCTCTTTTCAGCTGTGCGTTGGCTTCGGATAGAGCGAGGTTGGCGTCTTTCAACTGTTGTCGTTCACGGATGGAACCTTCTAGGACTTCGTTGTTGAATATTTCTCCTTTTGCGATAACCTCCTTTGCGACGTTTGCTTCGTATTCATGGTGGCTCGCCTTCATTTCTGCCATTTCTTTAGCAGAGACTTCAGTCTGGCATACAAATATCTCCATCCTCATGCCCACTTCCATCTCTTCTATCTCCGCTCTCGCGTTGAGTTCAGCTCCACGTGCCATAGCTAGTTGACCTCGTATATGATCAATAACCATAGCTTCCTGATTGCTCTGATCTTGAGATGAGTGAACACTGTGTTGAAGACGTCTTTCCCTGACCTCACTGTTCCATTGTTCTTCTCTCTGGTGTTGGATCACCTCGTGCATATTGACATTCTCATCCTGTAGCGCAATCATTCTAGCTTGTATCTGGTCAGCTATTCCGACGAAGGCTGTGTTCTCATCCTGAATGGCTTTTGATCTTCTATTGATCGCCAATGAAGATTCATTCTGTTCTTGGATGTGTCCAATTGCTGCTTGAAGCTCTTGGGACATTCTGTCCTTCGTTGCTTTCACAGATTCAAGCTCTGAATGTTCTTGATGAGTTTCTTGTGCAAGCTCTTGATATCTCATGTAGATATGTTCAGCTGTCGATTCCGCCAAGCGTAGCTTGTGTTCGAGCTCTTCAATTCTTATTGTCGCTCCTTCATCTTCCTGTGTCATCTCTTGTAGATGTTCCTGCATCTTCCTGTTGTAGTCAGACATTTGCCTGAACTCCACTTCAGCCTCGTGGTGTAGTCGTGAGTATCCGGCTTGGATGCATTCATATTCTTCATGTAGAAAATTGTATGCGTTTCTCGCCGATCTCAATTCTTCACCCAGCTGAATCTCTCTTCTTTGCTCTTTTGTTCCTCTATCATCGTCACGTCTCTTCTCTATACTCCTTCTTGGGGATCTCGCGGTAGACGTTATAGGCGATGTAGATCTTGTTGTAGCTCTCATCGATCTTCTTGGTCCTACGGGTGCAAGATCGGTCAGATTCCGAGCCGGTGGCACGGATCTTTCCGAGATTTGTGATCCAGTAGGCATAGTGATAACGTCAGCATTTGCTGATGAATCAGTACCCATTGTAGAGTCTGGTGACGAAATGGTGTTGGGACCACCAGGAGCAGCGAATGAATAGGGTTCGCTTCCATTTCCTCCTGAGCTTGACATTGCAGGTTTCTGTAATGACTAGTCTTGTTCTTGGTCTCGTGTAGCTCGTACGGCTATAAAGAGCGCGTACGGCTGATAACCTGCGAGTGGATCTTAATCAGCGAAGTTTGAAGCTATCACTGACGATCCATAAGCGGCGTAGCGTCGGAACGGAAACCGCACCTTTTCTAGTCGCTTGATCCTTGAGCCAAAGTACATATGGTACATATATATGTACAAGTTGCACTGTACGTGTCGCTGCACTTCCATTCGCAAAACCCGTGTTAGGAAGTCAGTACACAAACAGTTCTGCAAAATCTGGCAAATTGTTTTGTCCAAGTCAATCCAATGCCAGGGAGCAGAAATTCAGAGTTGGAAGGCCATCTCAAGATTGCTCCCTTCTGAAGGACATGTCTGGTGACCCACAAGCCATCTCAAGCCACATTCATCGTCCCATACGAAGCTCCTTCTTGGTTAGGTCCACTAGGTGCTGAGTCCTGGGCATCCACTGATGGGCTTTGTTTCACCACATCTTCCTGGGCGAACGGTGGGATTGCACAGTTTCAACAGGGCAGCAGCGCCCTCTCACTACTCGGTACCCTGGACGTCAAAACAAACACAAGGACCGCAATGGAACATTTGTGCTGTTTTCATCTTCCGGTGTATGACATGCCCCCACTTCAAAAATAACACTTGCGACAAACATCAATGTACTTTGGAACGGGAACTGCAAAGCTGCAAAATGCCTGCATCTGCCATTGCACCACCCATCATTGTGACATGAATCATGGATCATAGTAAAGCCACCAGGCTTCTTTCATCTTCTTTCTGTGTTCAAGCTAGCTAGTCGACACGCTCGCACGTACATGAGAAGCAGCAAATGAGGCCTATTCTTGAGTACATGGCTTGCATGGCCGCACAAAAACCTAAAATGATCCTGATCACAGAAACAGCCCCCGCCTTTACCTTCAAGAGCTTCTCCATACGCCGTGCACCCAGGATCAACTTCTTGGCCTGAGCAATCAAGTGAAGCGGCCCAAAAGTCTCCAAGCGGATCATAGACTTGGAACGGACCTAATCCCCTTAAATTTCATGAAGAAACATGGTCTATGTTCGATCAGGAGTCTGCCCAATGCTACCCACCTCAAGTTTCCCCTAAGCTCACGCAGACTTGCCGCAAGGCGACACCGGCTTTCGCCAAGTGCAGGGCGACAACCGCCCCCAGCCCTTCGGATGCACCAGTGATTGCACAGGAACTACCTTGGCACTTGGAATGTTCGGCTTTGTGTCAATCAGCCCCTTTCACTTCATGCGCTTTAAACACCTCACATGCTCGGTGAATTGTCAAATGTCAAATCAATATCTTCAAAGACAAGCAACTTGTTGTAGTAAAAAAAGAGAGGGTCTGAGAAATCTGGTGTACTTGTTGCTGGCCAATTTCAAGGCTTCTTGGGACCTTTTGCAGCAATGCTGCCATCTATGTTGTAGACTTTCCGTGGCAGAAATGTCACCACCAGCAGCAGCACTAAAGGCCTCACTGAAACGGAGCAGTCCCGCCATTCCACATCATCCGTTTGCCTGTCAAGGTCCCAAGTAAGGCTACGGTGAAATCAAACTGCATCGACTAGCAGCTGACTAGCAGCTACTTATCGTGAGAAATAGTAGTGTTCCAAGATCTCTGAATGATAAAGGTTGGCGATGGCTGAACAGAGTGCACGTCCGGCTGCACGGGCCCAAAGAAGGAAACGAACAAGTTCCGAGCACTTCCCATGGAGAGTCGAGGTTGTGGGATCAAAGCTGGCAGCCATGGGACACCAGCAGCAAAAGCAGGAGAAAGCCTGCATGTCACAAGAAGCTTTTGCAACTTTCTGTTGGAAGTGTGTCACAAATCAGTAATTGTGCACAAGCACTTGCTCCAAATTATTTGTGCCTTCTTTGGACAGTAAGAGTATGTAAGAGTAAAATGATGCAAAATGGATTATCTGAATCTGCAGCGAAGCGTTGAGACCCAGGATTGCACATGTGTGTTTTCCCGCAAGCCTGCCGTCAGCGACATCAGCCGTAGAGTTGTCACCAGCCCACGGCTTTTGTGCCAAAACAATTAAAGTCCACATGTCCACATGCCAGAATCAGTCAAGAGGTGTGCAGGATCCAAGATCCAATTATACTCCCTTGATCTCCTTGTCTTTTTGGCATTAACCTCATACAACATCTCTGTAGGACCTGTAGGAGATTGAAGAGTGTGGTCAAGAGCTGAGCTGGCGGCAAGACTTTCTCCTTGACACAAGGCGGCTAGGCATGTGCTGCACTGACTGTACTCTGATAGTTTCAGACTCATGTGCTGCACTGATGGAAACAACACTACATTAGATTGGCAATGGACCATATCAAAAAGTTCTGTCGCAGGTCAGAAAAAGGGCCCTCCAAAAGTAACCATGTAGTGTATCAGAGTATCACGATTATCGTATGATTGTGTGATGGAACATCCAAGTCATTTGAGCGGTGGTCGAAAACCTTTAGTCTTGGCCTTATAATCCTTCTTTGCTTACGCGTCGGCTTCCGCAATGCTTACGCTACCAATGTGTTCGCTTACGCGGTGGTTTTTTCTCTTAGGTCTTACGCAGTTCTTACGCAAACAGGGCCCTTGAGAGATTGAGTCCACAACCCTTTTCTGCTTGCTGTGTTTTTCAGCAAAAAACTACACAAAGTATATTGGCAGTGTAACTAGAAGACTCAAAAATGCTTACGCACCTCTTACGCATCGAGTGTCCTAAGCTTGGCTTCCACCGAACCTTACGCAACCCTTACGCCGTGCAGACTTTAGCTTACGCGACAGTCTTGCAATTTAATCGGATCATGCGGTTTTTGCATAGAGGTTTTGAACGCTGCTCATTTTGCCCTATGTATTCTAACATATTCTATTTGTGCTCTTGTTCCATCCTATTCCCTTGACTGGGTCTTTCTTTCAGTCTCTCGTTCTCACCCTGAGAGAGTTCATCGCCTTCAGTGCACTGGTGGCATCCGTCGCGGCATTCAGCGAATGGAAGCGCCGCACCTAGTGTCGCACCCAACGACAGACCCAACAGCTCAACCAGACTCAACCAGTGACGAAGTGGGAAGGATCAATGCCGTATCACCAGTAGATGCCTGTAGAAGTGCTGTAGAGGTCCTGTATCAGGTCTTTTTTTAAAATGATACATAATGAAACTAATAGCGATGGCCTCCACCTAATAATCACGTGAAACTACCCGTTTGAGTCCAACAACTTGGTCGTCCCCTGAGTCCCCTGGACACTGAAAAGGGAAGCGGCATCAGCGTCATCCTTGCTTGGTCTCACATCCCAAATCGCTTCAGCTCAGCACCACGGATCTCAGGAGCAACAGCAGTTGTTGCCGAGCTTTGCTAGCAACCTGAAGCAGTGATTCAGCTGCATGAGATACATTGCAGGAACCCATGAGCATTGATGGAAAAGCTCACAATCAATTGGCCCACCTCGGTGCTAAACAGGTCGCTTCCTTTTGAGCCAAGGTGCCAAGGGTCTCTTGGGGTCGAAGGCGGTGCGAAGGAATCGTCGGAGCTCCTCCACGGAGGCGGTCTCAATCACCTGGCGAAATAGCAGTAGCTAGAACGCTACTAGGAACGAAGGGCATCGCGACTAGGAGCAAGGATGCTACTAGGGGCTCCTGGCATCGCTACTTGGAGCAAGGATGCTACTAGGAACAAAGGGCATCGCTAGCTTGGCCAGTTGAGGCTTAAGGGTGTCCTTGGTGACTTAATGGAGTCTTCGACGCATGGTGCTTTCCTGAAACAAGAAGCTTCCAATCTGCCTCCTTCAAATCCCTGACAGCTCGCTCGGCCTTGATGCCAGAGGGACAAGAATGTCTTCCAAATGACTGGGGTGTGGTCGAGCGGGTTTGCTTCCCATTCCAGTCTAATTACTTTGGATTTCACATTGCAAGCAATTGTAAACGCACCGGTGAAAATCGCTGAACTTCATACTGTCATACAGTATGTTATGTAGGTACCACATGGTACCACTGTAGTCAGAAGCCAGGATCACGTGCACTCGTCGTGGAGTTCTTCAGACTGGAGATGCTCGACGTCAAACACACGCTCATGAAACAGCAAACTAGGGAAGTTGCTGTGTGCTTGTGCTCAAGCCTCTCCAAGGATTGCAAAACCTCAACCAACATGACCAACTGCAAAGAGGTTGCACATGATTCACATACGACACTCAATGCAGTGATGCCGAGCCTTGGAAACTACCAATTGGACAAGGGACCAGAATCATCCACATTCTATGATGATGATTGACAAGTGATTGACATGACTTTGGTTGTGGTTGTAGAATGTGGATCATTCTTGTCCCTTGTCCAATTGGTAGTTTCCATGGTTCGGCAATGTCAATGAAAGCAAGCAGCAAGCTGCCTCCCAGAATTGAGCGTACCTGTCCCTGGTGTGTCCATCTGCCCTGAGCTCACTGACCACATGCTCTCTCTCCCGGTCCCGCAGATGTGCCCTCAGAGAAGTCCCGCAAGTGCAAGCTGGGGAAACGCCAACATTGCATTTTCAGCAAGGAGTAAAGACATGCGTCTTGCAAGGAAACATGCTACAATTGTAAATGAACAAAAAGTTGGCAAAATCAAGTTTGGTCAAACTCTCGGGCATCGCACACGGAGGGCGAAGTCTTGGCACGCTTGCTGCTAGATCCTGATGCATTATCCATAGTAAGCGTCGCTCTGCGAAAAAGTGCAGAATGACAAAAGGTGAAACACAGCTGCCTATGAACAGATTTGGGCGCATGTCTTGGAGCACTCAAGCTGATGCTAGAATCTAAATGTCAAAACAAATCGGCCGTCACCCTTCACGGACCATCGGGAGGTATCGGTTACCAGTGGCTCCTACTTTGGAGTTTTGCCGACGGAGCTCTTGAAGGTATTGCCTGGCCAGCATGTCTGTAAAGCAAGCCTTCAAGTTGTAGTGCGCAACTGTCTGCCCAAATGATGTCACATCGTGGTTACATCGCGATTTTCACTGTACGGGTGCGGCAAACAGGAGGGGTGCACGAGTGATCCGCCTTGGCGGAGTCGAGCACAATTTACTGATGTGGATGCATGAGATTACGCAAAAGGATGCAATTTGTTGAAACAGCAACGCCTAAATGTTCTGGAAAAGGCATCTTCCATCTTCTGTAGCACAAATTCGCTTCTAATAGCTGGGGCGGTGGCTTTGAAAGGATTTGGACCTTTTGCGTCACCTGAAGAGCAGCATAGCGCCCGGTGAATGGCGCACGGCAGCAAACGTTTGCAAACACCCCATGTGCTTCTTCAAGATAAGATCATCAAGAATCATCCTGGATCCAAGTCTGCAGTCCTTTGACTTCCAGCATGCAACACAACAATCCCCAATCCTCCCCCATCCACCTCCTGTACCTTCTAGATGCTCAGCAACTCGTGGGGCCTCAAATGCCAATGCCAGGATGTCAGGCGATGCGAATACTGGTGAAGCTTTCCACTGATTCAAACTGACAATTTCAGGTGTCCCCACGCTGGTAGGTCGCAAGCCCCCGCGGCTAGGAGCCATGTGGCCTAGACTATGCAAGGTACAAAAGGAGAATGGCAAGATTTGGTCAAGGTGATGCAACCAAGTTCATGTTGGTCTTTCAAATTGCAGACCCGTCATTGGCCTGCGATGCGAGCCGGTCACCTATCCATCAGGACAGCAGCAGGGATCTGCTTTGCAGCGCTGCAAGCCAAATGTCACTTTCAAGACCAGCAGCTGCGCGCAACACACACACAAGCGAACGAGCGTGAGCGCTGTACATTCTGGTTGATACCTATATGGCCGAGCTTTGGTCTTTCCAGGTTGTTGCTGCTGTTACAAAGTGTACAAAGTGTCTGGCTTCTGATGGTTTTATGACTGTGACTAGTATTGGCTAGTTGTCCCACCCATCTTCTGCAAGGATGGAGGACGCGCACAAGAAAATACCGTCCAGATCAGTGCCGCGGACAGAATCTATGACCTCGGCCAGTGAAGCACCGAGCTGTGTATCAACACTGGCAATTGAATTCGAAATGGGCAGTATCAGAACTGAGTCAACCTGAGCGAATGCCAAGAGTGTGAACTGCAAATGCGTAACACTCATCAGAATAGACAAGCAGACCATGGAACAAAGCCTGTGGCTCTGTGGACTCTAGGTAACCAAACTTTGATTAGATCTGGTGTTTCACGAAGGATTTGATATGGGACCCTGCACGAACCAGGAGGTCTACGATAAGGTCCCCGCAGCTTTCCACTCTGCGACTTCCGCGGCCGAGTGCTGAGCACTGACCTAAGAAGATGTTTGCTGGATGGATTCAGAGATATTCAGAGAACTCCAGTCGGACGCCACAAAACTCCAACAGCTGCATATGTTTCATCGTTGCATGAGACTGCAGCGATCTTGAACTCAGCTTCAGATGTGGCGCAAAATCATGCCAAGATACGCCAAGTAAAGCCCTAAACCGCGAATGCCAAAGGTCAGCATTGTCTGCATTTGGGGCAAGTTACTCTTGGGAGTTGCAGCCCATCAAGGGTAGGAGTTTTTGCAACTACATTACATAGGACTTGTGGACCACGCAATGGCAAACCTCGTGCAAGAAGAACCTTTTTCTGGCTTACCAAGGAGTGACCAGCAGCTAGCAGGGCAGGCTTTAGGATCGCACATCGTAGAGCCAAAACACGGGTCTCTTCTTTGGACCCTGACAGCTGCACTGACGGCTGCGCTACGGCTTCAACATACTTCCACCACGTCTTGAGGGTATTGCAAACGATGCCCAGAATCCTGAGCATCTTTGATCTATCTATGGTTGAAAGAAAGCCAGTTGTGCGCAAAAGGTGTTTTGGGGACACCAAATGGTGGAAAGAGCTACTGGTTCGATTGCACTCATGACTCCTGGAAATCTACGAAATGTGTCTACTGATCTAACGCTCCCAATATTTCAGAATGACATGATCAAGTGAATCAAGTCAGAGAAATTGGGTAAGGTGGCGCTTAGCTGAGGATCTGCAAAAGCGCTGCCGGGAGCCTCCCGGAAGAGTGCAGGGTGCTGTCCATATTCTCGAAAGATATACTTGAGATCATCCAGAAACCTGACTGGAAGAATCTAGAGGTAAAACAGCCCCCAAGCACAAAAGACTCGACAACACGATTGATGTTCATTTTGAGCAAAGCATTCCAAAAGAAATCACCACTTTGCACTTGGCAGCGGTGTGGGCGCAGCTTTTGGTTTCAGCAAAATGAAGGAACACGTTGTGCATCGCTTTTCGGAATCAGGCTCCCTAGCGAGTGCGCACTGCGGCCCCCGTAGGGCTCGATGTGAAAAGACCTCAATGGAGTGCTAGACACCATCTGAGGCACTGAAATGTCACTGACCAATCGTGAAGCCGGTTGAATCTATTGATCTGGGTGCAACATGGTGCAACAGGTTTTGAAAACAGTTGGCCTTGGGGCCTTGAGCTATCCTGAGCTTACGCTGTAAGCAGCAAAACATCAAACCATGAAATCACCAAAACCGCAACGTCTGCATCAACAATCACACTTAGAAGCCAGGCACATAGACCCCAGCAGCCGCTGCAGCCTCATCACCCGGCGGGACTCACAAGTGATTCGAACCGAGAGTGAAGGAGACTGAATGAGACTGTCAAAATCTTTCAAACATATTCAAAACCATCTCAAAGGTTGTTAAACGATGTTGCAGCTACTGTATATTGTATTTGCAGGATTGATGTGCAGTTATCTGTGCTGAAACTCTCTGGAAGGTCCTGAACTCTCAACCAGCTTCGTGAAAGCTCATGTCCAGCCTCTAAAACCAACGGCATGAGTGCATCAGTGTTCGCACCTGAAGGCAAATGACAAAAAACAGTTTTTTTGTCGTTCTTAACTGAGATCGATATTGGTGAGCTCCAACTACGGTACGGTACATCCTGTAATCAGCAAAAATCGCCAATGGTCAAGTGAATGCTTGGATCAGGTCGCCTGAGTCCGCATCATCACGCTTGCCAACCCAGTCCTGGTCAAACTATCAAACACAACGACACAAACAAATGGTCTTGCAGGATACCTTCTGCAAATAAACGAAATTGTATCAAACCCAGCAAGTCTGCCGAACAGAGATCCGGCAACGGAGCCCAACTCAACTGGTGAGCATCAGCAAAGTTCTCCTTTCGCCCCCACCATGAGCACATCGCCGAGTCAATGCCGGCCTCAAAAAGGCCGTGAAATCAAGATGACATTGAGACTTCAAACTGTGGGATCTCCAACACTGTTAGAAGAGTATCGATTTTCTGTAAGATTGAGGCTCAATGAAAACTGACCCCTAATGTAACCACGTCCAACGGAACATCAACCTCTCCAAGAACCTCGTGAAGCTGTTCCCTTCCGCCTCTGCAAGCTCCCGGAACTGTGCCATCAGAGTCTCGTTGCTCGCAGAGCTGCAGCGACCGTGAGCTCCGATCGTGCGGTCGACAGGGAAAAGTATCCGATTGGATGCGATTGGTGAGAAGAGACTTAGAATCATGGACGTAGATCTCTCTGGCATTACAAGGATCTATAATGTTAATGATTGCTCTTTGGATGCTATGGAACAACCTGATAACAGATACATCACTGATGGGGCACACATGACTTTAGAACAAAATCTCCTTATAGTGGAACTCGGTCCTTCTGAGTCAAGACCATTGTTTCTAAGGGAAAAAACAACAACTGTAATAACAGCAATGACCTCCCTCCTAAAGCGCTGGCCTCCAATGCCAACCTAATAGAAATAGCCTCCATCCTAAGAGCGATGGCCTCCAAAGACAATTGTTTCTCCTGCTCCAAGACCTTCCAAGACCATCATTGCTCCAAAAGCCGCACCTGTATGGACCTCTTTCCGGAAAGAATGGAGAATGTGGCCTTAGCAATTGTGAAATGCAAATATATGCAAATCACATCACCCTGAGTCACTGATCATCAAGCAATAAAACAAGGATCCTGCTAGCAATACCTCATGATTGACCCAGGACGTCGAACTGAAGCGTGTAAAATGTTCATTCATCCTTGCCTATAGGACTCACATCATCTGGCAAATCATTGCTGAAAGCCCGGCTCATCTGGCGGACGCCAATAGAACTTTTTGTGCTCCGCGTCAATCTACAGGATGTCGCGGCAAACCATTACAAACATTCCAAGGAACACAAACCCAACAAGTAATACCAGCTCCAGCGCTGAAAATCTTCCATGGCCTCCGAAACAGCTATTTGACATTATGTTCGGGTGAGAAGCCAACAACGCAATAATGGGACAAACGGACAAACGTGTCAGCATCGTAAGTATGAGCTGTCCGTCCCGTTGTTAAAGCTTCCTAAACACAAACAGCACCCATCAACTTCTCTTTACAAATGGCTTTCACTTCTCTGTTTGCCCCACATCAGCCCACCTTGGGATCCCAGTGTGGCAGTACCTCCAGCTTCGCAAATACATCTCATCAAGCCAGAGCTTCCTACTGTGTGGCCAAACGGATAACCTTGCTGACCTTGCTGTGATCCTCTGGAGATCCCTAATTGCAAACTGATTCTTCGGGTCATTCAATCATTCCCTATAAGCCTTGTGCGTTCGTGCTTCATATTTCTCATGCTTCTTCTACTGAAAACCCCAGCATGCGAGCAGCCTTGTGGTCCCAATGCATCCAGCGTCCATCGGTCTGGCACCGCGTTGTTCAATCTTCCAAGTGACCAACCAACGAACTGTGGCTGACGGCTGACCCGCCAGCCCAACTATCTGCATCAGACTTTGAGGAAGCAATTCTCAAGTGGGATCATCATTCAAGCATTTTCTGTAAGTGGCAGAGGATATCCAGTAATGTTACCTTCATGTTCCACTGTGTAGTTATTGGCATAGACGCACAGGATCACAAGGGAGGAACATGACGCGCAAACGTGGCTGTTTTGTCTTCTCTCAAGGAATTTGAAGGTCGGCCTCTGGATTGCCATACCTGGCACAGGCAAAACGCTATCAAGTCAGTGGGTACAACAACTGCCACCTTGACTTGCAGTGTGACCCAATGGAAATCCTCCAGAAGCTAACCCCTGCCTTCGAGCCTCACCGCGAAAAACGACTGGAAGTTAAAGGGGGTGCAATTTGGTATTCAATACACGGCCGGAGCTGCCAAAGGTAGAATGCTGCATGAACTGCAGGTGCAGTGCCATCTTCCCTGAGCGATTGGCGGTCACAACAAAGTCCATCAGAGCTCTCATCACCTACTTCATGGCAGCAATTTGATCCTCAAACCATGAGAAGTTCCATGAGGGCTTTCCAAGGGTTTTCCACTCATATAGCTCTTTGGTACTGTCAAGCCTTTGCAACAAGAATGGATATCTGGCCAGCTTGGTCACATTAGATGAAGCGCTCAACAGTTTTGATGTTGATGTGTCTCAGGCAATCAAGCCTCGTGCAGCTGACAATTTCCTCTTGAGCGTCCGGAGTCTCATCCACAGGATCAGGCTCTGGTCCATCGCCGCCTTCCTACAACAAGACATCCCCAACATTCAGAGATCATGTGATTTCATGTGTATCATGTTGCCTAACATTGCCCAACAGGAGATCTCTGTGGCATCTGTGGGCTCAACCGGACTGGGAAACTATTATGCGGGCTGCGCCAACGGACCAGTGAAGCGGATTGGACAGCTGCTAAATCCATTCGTAACCTCCACAACTCCACCAAGTGCTCACCAACTCTTTGGGAGGTTGGATGCTTTGGAAAAAAGACGGTTGCTTTCCATCTATGGCCATCTTCCCCTTTGATGGCAGAAGCTCGTGAAAGTCTCCATGCGTTGCAGGAATCTTCACACTCCCAACTTCACCTCGATCTCGCTGATCGACTCGTCATACCTCGGTGTTCAGTATGTACCGGTCCCAAAATCTAAATCACCTGAAGCAACTTGGGCCTAGTGGTAAACCATTGAATATACATGAATCTTCTTGCCTGCCTCCCTCAACCTCTCCACCCACATGTCGACCAGTTTTTGCAAGAACCATCAGACACACCTGTTTTCTCCTGGCCGCACCTTGAGTGTGTTTCCCACTCTGTCTGTGGGAATAGAAACCGCAGGATCCACCCAAGGGCAGCCAAGCAAAGTACACTAGTTTAAAGCACTGATGAGCTGCTGAGTCACACATATCACACATGTCACACATGTTTTCAGCATAGCACTGTCAGACTGTCGCTGGAAATTCACGGCTGCCAGGCGAGACCAGTGGTGACACCAAGAGCTTCTCAAGATGTACTGTAAGTGCTTCAAACATACACATCTTCAAGTTCTTCAAGTAACCATCTTCGTCGAATGAATACTACAAATATACAAGTATCAATCCACCATTATCCAACCGATCCTGGTCTGCACTACACTCCTCGCAAAAAATACATCAGTTGGTGACAAAATCTTTAGTAATAAATCAGAGACCGTGCTATTATTTTCTCGGCTTTGTGATCTGATTGTCCTTTCACTTGCCTCAAGATCTACAAAAAATAAGCTGTTTTGCCCCATGGCAACTACTACAACAGAATCAACATGCAGAGAAGCCCTGCTTGACTCAAACTCGGCAAGCGGGATCGCGAAAATCATGATGCCACGCTAGACCAGCCCTCTTTTGGCCTCACATTTGATATGAAGCAGGGAGCCCTGTGACAGTGTCATCCAATCGAGAAAGCTTTATAGTGCTGTTATACTCGAACATCGGCCCCAATTGACCAGTTGTGCCATTATTGGGCATGCTTCGAACAATCTCAAGACCAGCAAGTGGGACCTGAGGAGGATCGGCCCAGAAGCGATACAACTTGTGGTCGCTGTGCGTGCGGCATGAGCAGGGATCCACGTGGCAGGGTCTCAAAGCTCCACTTTCTGCGCTGTTTCGCATCTCTTCTGCGAGTGCAAGAAACTCTTGGATGCAGTGCTTCCGCGTGTGAAATGCCTAAGGGTGCGACATTACAAAATGAGCCCAGGAACAATCTATCATCATGAGACACATCTTGCGGGCCCACAAAAGGTGGTCCATGGTCCAAATAAAAGGTCCTAATGATTCCTAATGGCCTTTGGGTTCATGCATTATGTTCTATTTCTCTGTAAGTATGTCATCCAACTGGTGAGGAGAGCTATTTGCGCACCCATTAAGCGATCGTAGGCGCTCTAAGCAGTCCGAGGTTGGAGGTTGAGAAGGGAATGCATGTTGCTTCCCTGATGTGCTTTGAGACGCCATATGTACGATATGTAATCATTCACATAATTAACAGCAGCTCAGGTAGCCCGTTGACCGCTGGAACCAGAGCATGTGCTCTTCCGCTTCAGGTTCCGCTTGTCACCAAAGTCTCTACCTGGGAGCATTTGAACATCTCAGCATGCGTTCCGACCAACAGTGAGTCGCAGCAGTTGTCCTTACAGGGCTTGTACCAAGAGCTTGTTTCACAACACAGCGGGGTGCAGCAAAAGCCAAGAGAACGTGTGTACTTCAACATTGAACTTTGCAGGGTCATGCACTGGTACGAGCAGTTTTTGGTTTGGTGGTAACCATGATTTCATATTACCCACCAAGCATCTAGTCACCTGGTCCCTGGAGGAGTCTCACCGAATGGCGATAGCCACTTGCGGATAAAACCGTCTCTCCCCAAGTAAGGGGAACAGTTGATTTGCATATATAACTAGACTTACTCCAGCCCAATAGCAATGGCCTCCAACCTAATAGCGATGGCCTCCAGCATAACATTAAACGGTTCCAGTGCCAGTTTTCAAGTTTCAAGGAGATGCTCCTGTGAGGTGACTGATGACTGTGATACCTACCGATTATTGCTTGTTTCGAGGCACATTTGCATCTGGCGGGCCACCAAAGGTACGGTGACTGCAATGCCTGTGGCGCTTCAAGCAAACGAATGAAGGAGCTCAAAAGCATCAAAAGGGACTATAGTGACTATCAAGCCAATATCTGATATACTCATTGATGCCCATACAAGTGACCAACTATGCAAGTCAAGGGGCTAACTGTTGGAAACAGCTAGTAAGTAGTAGTATATGCAGAATGACGGCACATCCTTGTGAGCCAACGGAACATACTTTCGGATGTTGTGACTAATTATTATGAAGAACGTCCATGAACTACCAACAATATCTGCAGTCAAGGCTCAAGCTGCTACAAGCATCAAAGGCTTCATGCGATCAAGTGTGACGCTCCTGGATAGCACATTGATGGGTTGGTTGATGTGGCAAAGCAAGAAGACTTGCCTAAAAAATGCCCAGCAGGGTGTCTCCATGTGGGTGACGTTCAAATTTAGATTTCTCCCGAAGTTGCCGGCCAACTTGTCAGGCACTGGGTGTGCCCCTTAGAGAGCCCTTACAATGAAGATCTTGTCTTCCGTCCATTTCCGACAGCTAGAGATAGGCTAGAGATGACTACCAAAAAAATACTACGTTGCCTTTCTGCTTCATCACCGATGATGCCTGCTTGCATATCCTACAGGTTGAGCAAGGAAATCCTTGCTGTGGCAAATCGGCCCAGAAATGTTCTATCAAATATCACGGGAGTATTTTGCCTGCGGGAATGTACCAGGGTCACCCCCTCACATTGAGCAGGAAGCTCTTTCTATATATTTTGGAGTATTTTGATACTTTTGGTATAGTGAGCTCACGGAGAAGAAAGAATGATGTTCCTTGTTTGTTCTTATATGCGGGCGTGTTTAGCCTCACTAAAAGATTACAAAAAGTCTTGGAATTTGCATTCAGATGCCTTGCAAGTGCTCCTTGCCACGATTCAATAATTACTTGCAAAGCAATCCAATAGGAAGACAAGCAGCATACAGCAACTACAGGACCCAATTGCGGAGTGTGCGAGAAGCTCTTCAGAACGTTCAAACCTCTGGCCGTCTCCTGTCACTAGTATGTAGTGCTGCGAGCAACGCGGCCAGCTTGGCAGGTCTCAGCAGCTGCTTCGCATCCTCACAACGATGTCATGTCATCCCTAGATGCCCATCGCGACTCGCCCAATGTAAGTACCCCCTTCGGCCACCGTCCTTCCTTTCGGACCCTTGTGCAGGGAGTTTATACTCTGCCTAGCTCTGATCTACTTAAATATGCCTTTTTAGCCTGCACCCACATTGAAGACAATAGGCACTATGCGGCGATTCTTCTCGATCGACACTCCACAAGTCCCGGTGATCCACGTCCAATAAGCCTTGAGCAAGAGAAAAAAGGAACAGGAGCCAAAGTGTCTTAATGTGTTCAGCTTTCTATGTCATATGATGTCCCTTCTGCCCACTCGAAAGTCTGCTTCTTTCGGAGTCCTTGGGATTGGAAGCGGCATAGGCCGCTCCAGCGACCATGAGCTGCGAGAAAAGCCGTCGGCGGTGCTGCTCCTGAAGGCTGGTTAAAGCAAACAAAAATTAAAGGACTATAGACTATAGTCTATAGTAGAAAACAGGATTAGTAGCGATGGCCTCCAACCTAATAGCGATGGCCTCCACCCTAATAGTCTACAGTAGGAAACTGATCTTTTTGGTGTGGTCTTCCGTCTGGCATCTTTGGAATCCCCATGCTGGGGCCAGAGGAAAGAGACTCTTCCGCTGTCAGATGTATCCTATGCTTTTAGGAATGAGGGCAACGCATCTTCCAACTGGTGACAAGGCTCATCCAGCAAAGAGAAGTATAAGGCTCCAAAGCAACCCGTCCTCGGAGTTGAGCATTCTGTGAAACGATTTTCTAAATGATGTCAAACCATGTCAATTCCAAGGAGACCCATGTCTGTAGACTATTTTGAAAGTAAACGGACACTTGATTGGTCTGGCTGAGGATGCTTTGACAGCAGTCAAAGGTGGTGTAACACTTCTGTCCAGGTTGCTTGATTAAGAGAGCAAATTCACGGGGCAGCTGTACCTTAAAGCAAAGGCAATGGTCTGTGGCTCTCACACTCTGCTGATGCGGAGCTTGAACATGGATGATGTATGAGGTATGATGATGTTCCTATCGTGCAAACATTGGCCGTGTTCGGTGCAATATGCGAACGAAAAAACATGTCGTTGTCGTTCGGAAGCTGCACGTGCGACCTTCCGACCTTCGCATTTGCCTGCTTGTGATCTGATTGGAAGGTGAACTGAACAGGATGCTGCCGCGGCACACCATGTCGGCACAAGACCCCTTGCAATCGGAAGAGCTCCATATGCAACGCTGGGCTCATGGGATCTGAGCGTCCTGGAAGATTGGAACTTCACCAATGTGCTCGAGTTTGTGCAAGATTGTTCAAGTCTGTTACAAGAGTATACAAGAGTGACACCAGGAAAAGGCACCCAAGAAACAGAAACCACAAGCAAAGGAACAATTAAACGGTGTCGCCCTGCCAAGCCCTGCCTCTGAAAGGGTTCAAGCGTTGTAGCTCGCGCAGCACTGGCTTCATATCCTTCGGATCAAACCAACACTTCGCATGAACCACGTGGAAAATACATGTCTTTCTCGAAGCTACCGCACCCAAATGGGTGTCTAGAACGAAGAACCGTCATGTTGCCTGAAGGTTTCTGAGACTCTGAGATTCTCGGAAATTCAGATTATAGGTTGATGAAAACCAAACTAGTCCGAGATTGAGTCCGATTGCAAAAAGAAACCAGAAATGATAATGCATTGAAATCCTCTGTTTCCCAATATGGTGCCAATGCGGCCTTGTCATATCCCGACATATCTTGTCATATTGCCTGCTGCCACAGTCCCAAGTTGCATGTTACTTCCCTAAGGGCCTAGAGCCTAGAGGCCTAGAGGTGCTCATCTCAGAACACTCAAGCCAAGCATCTTCAGCCAGCGCGTCAACATCCAAGACCTGCAAGCAGACTGCTTAGAGGCTGCTTTCAAGCGGACCGACTGCTTAGATTCCCTGAAGCTGTGACTTCGACCATTGACGTCTTCGGCCCTTCGCCTCGCCAGTGCCGAGCTCTGGGATGCGCTGCAAAGCGTGGGCAAAGCCCTCGAAAGCTCGTGTGATTGAACGAGGTCAGCCACCAAAAGGTCTTTCAACAAACATGCAGGTCTTCACCAAATAGATGTTACATAAGTTACATGATGCTACGAGTCAAATACGCCTTTACGCCCTTTAAAACCTACTCTCTTCTTTCAAATCAATGCGCGTTGTCTCTGTGTCACACGTCCTGTACACTATATTTAATCTTGGAAGTAGCGCACGTGAGCTCAAAAAAAGGATCTGCAGTGCCCAGGACCAAGCCTCACAGAACTGCCTGACGTCAGGCCTGGCCCAAATTCGAAGCGTAGTGCAGGTCTGTGCGTTGAGAAATTCTGGACATATGCCAAGTGAAACATATCACCCTCACATGATTTGACAACTCATCATTTTAGCTGGCATAGACATCTGTTTCTGAATTGCGATTGGCCTCGAACCAGCGAAGGCCTTAGCATGCACGAATGAGTCTCCCAAGTCCGGTGTGGACAGCCTGGGGCTCACTTTGTCTACCAGTCGTGAGTGTCCGTGAGTTCTGCAAGTCAATGGCAGATCATTGCGATCTGCAAAATCATTGCGAAGATTTTCACTGTGATATCTGTGATCAGTACATCAAGGCAAACTGTGTCCTTTCCTAGACCACCCGGCAACAATCCCCATCAGTTCAATGGACGCTACAGCTAATCGAAATCCAAAGAGTCTTCATGGAGGCTTTACTTTAGGAAACACACCCTTTGCCCACGGTACATTGTGGGATGGGGTTGCTAGATATCGATCCCTCATGGGCATTCTTTGCCACCTTTTAGCTGATTAAATGTATATCTGTATATATATATATAATGTTAGATTCATGCCCAACCCACGCTCTTTCTTCCTCTTTTAAATCTCGTTTGCCCCCGACCACAGTTCAGCGCGCAGGAGAAAAAGGGACTGCGGGGACCAGGTTCGCTTGGTGTGGTGCATGTCTACAGTACGGTAAAAGGACGCTACCAGGGGCTGCTGGCATCGCTACTAGGAGAAGGGACGCTACTAGGCGCTCCTGGCCTTCTACTAGGAGCAAGGACGCTACTACGAGCAATAGCATGCAAGTTTGTCCATCCATCTTCTGCACCGAGCCACTGAGGCTTGCATCAATAGCGTTCCTCTCCTTGGTCTCAGATGGTCTCAGAGGCGAAATGAGATACTGTAAATGAAAATAAATGAGTATGAGTATGACACTTATGACACGACGTTTACTTCTATGATGCCTAATCTGCAATTGATGTCTCTCTCTTCCACCCCAATCCACAAGGAAAATCAAGGAAACAAAAACCACACGGTCAAATAATTCGATCCACAAAGGAACAGCACCGAACTGTGCTGGTAGCTTTCGCATGCTTTCGGTTTTCAATGCTTCCCAGCTTCAAAGGTGCAGGCAGCTTTCCGCAGCAGCCAAAGTCTATGAAAGCGACCTGTTCACATCCGCCTGAGAGACCTGCTTCAGGTTTGACGATCCCCACGTGCCAAGCTCAAAAAGATCTAACTCACAGGACTCACAGGACTCACGTGCATCTTGCTAAGAACGCACCGCATTGAAATTCTGACATGCTTGCTGTCAAAGTGAGAGAAGGGCGAAGGGTTTTTGTCTTGTACGACTCTGTCAAGTTCACGAATGCATCCAGCCTGGCACTGCGATCATGTTGCCGCAGTGCAGGTCTGCCTCAAGTATCGATGAGGAACCTTGCTACCACTACATAAGAACTGCAAGTGATCTCTAACATGAGCTCATAGTGTCTAATCTGTAATCTCCCAATATCCAGACGCCCTCTTGACCCAGCTGTGTCGGTATTTATAAGATTATATGAATTGAAAAGAAAGGATAGTGAACACTACAATCAGTTGCAAAAGGACTCCTCCTAGGAATCCAGAGTTTTTTGGTGATAATAGTTAAATTATGGAGGTTTAGCTGAGGGCTGGACCCCCTTTCACTAATCAGGATCCAACATTACGGACTTCCCCTCTTGCTTTCTCTCCATTCTTTGGTAGCACTCCCTTCTTTGCTTTCCGAGCTTCATGGAAAATGGCTGTGCCATCGATCACTGACAATGCTGCTACCGACAAGGCAGAGGTGAGCGCATTTTGCCAATTCTCCGGAGCCTGAGAAACCCAAATGAAGCAGTCGAAACATGTCTGAAACCCTTCGAGCAAGGACGCTACTAGGAGCAAAGGGCATCGCTACTAGCAACAAGGACGCTACTAGGGGCTCCTGGCCTTACTATTAGTAGCAAGAAGCCAAACATTCGGTGAAAGCGATGCCTGTGAGGTCTGAGTCCTGGTCCCACTGTTGACATTGTCTCTGGGTTGCCCGACATCTTGCTGGTGATTTGCACAAATGTCGGAGAAGGGCACCCCTTCGATCCGCTCCATTGTGAGCACCCGTGACTCAGGAGCAAACGAGTCAGAATTCAGGGCAGTACACGACAGTGTGCGTTTCTGCTTTAGATTTGGTCCAGCTTTCGTAATGAACTGTATTTACTAAGTTGCCACTAGGAGCAAGGGCATCGCGACTAGGAGCGTTCGGACGCTACGTTCGGGGCTCCTGGCCTTACTACTAGGAACAAGGACGCTACGAACGGAGCTTTTTCATGATAGATACTAAGTTGCCATTGCCACCGAGCTGCTGCGGAGGCCCCAGAGAAGGTGCGTGGCACCTTCACTGCCTTCTGCAGCCGCGCCCGACGGACTGTCACCTCAGGAGGTATAAGGTATATAGGTCCAGTAGGTTGGAGGTGGTTGCTGATGTTGAGGTGGTTGGTGGGATAGTCGCAGTCCTACTTATACAATACCCTAACTTCTATACACTCTATACTTGCTGAAGTGCCCTCAATTCTACGAGTCCATAGATTGTAAGTTGATATCCGCATACTTTCGGCCCAAAGGAGCCTAGAGCCTCTCAACTTCCAAAGGCTCATAGGGAAAGGTCAGGGTATGGACCTAAAACACGTTTGTTCTTCCATTTGCAGAAATCCAGCCTTGGAAAGAAGAGGCTATTATAGTCAATGTGCAAATGTCTTTTCCTCTTCCCAATACTTTAGGGCCTTTAGGGCAATTATGTCATCCAAGAGAATAGTCGGGGCTAGGGAACTGGAAAACGCCTTTGAGAAAACCAAACGAAAACTGCCAAACATTGCACACACTAAAAGGCTGGGTTTGCATACCAGAAGTATCATGAAGTATATAAATACTGTAATACTGTAAAGGCCCACTTGAACAACTAGCTAAGCCATTGTATTGTATTGTGACGGGATCGGCTTGCAGGCTACATACTCAAGATCTTCTGGTGCTCTATCAGTCTTGAAGCAGGTGGATCATCCAAGTAATTAGAGTAGGACACATGTACTATCATGTACTGTAAGGCATGTTGCGACTATGAATCGAACCAATGCCTTGATGCCAACTGGTGAAATGTCTGTTCCAATGCCACCAAGGCACAGAGGTGTCCAACCAGTGTCGAAAATCCTGACCCCGAGCTCCAATCACATTCGACATGCGCGTGCTCACAACAGCAAGAGGACACAACATTCGCATTCGTGTCATATTGCTACGATGAGGAAGATCAGTGTCCGGCAACGCAAAGGATGGAATAATCCATTAGCTGGCTTGTACATCCTCTCCACTTGCAAGCATAGGAAGCTTGTAGGAAATAGATCCGTTTCTTCCCTTGCCCGATCGCCTCAATGTTTTGCCTCTCCACCGACAAATCGCACTCTGCCATCACTGCAGTACGTAGCTCCTGCTGTGGTGTAGATACTGCACAGCTGCATTGATCATGTGATGACAAAAAAAAGCTAGCAAACTGAACCGTCAGCATGTCAAGACTTCAAGAGTGTCCTTCCCTGGAAGTATAAAAAGCACTTGTATTGCAATTGTTTTTGGAGTTCCACAACTCTAAAGGCTGCACCAAGTCGAACAAGTGTTTCGACCAAAAAGGAGCCTGCGTCAAGTCAGGTAGAAAAGGTTGGAATGTTTGGAACTCTGAAAAGAGTTTGAATCTTTGCTGTTCATCTAACTGGCAAAACGCTTGAAATCCCAAGGTCGGTTGCATCCTCCACACAGCCAGCCAAAGAAGCGCTGACCATCTGCAGCACCAAATCCTGCCGAAGACTCTGGAAAACTTGAAACTGGACCGGTCCAGTTCCTGCGTTCCTGGCACTGGAGATTTTGTTCGACAAAATCTGCACGCCTCCCCCAGGACCAAATCCGCCAGCCGTGCAAATAGCGTGGCAGCCGCAAAGTCCGCGCTCAGGCGCTCGCGCACGTGAGGGCGGACCACCTTGACCACCTGAATGGAACTCAGAAATCCAAAATCGTTCGCTTTTAGACAGGTCTTGGGGGAGGCCAAGCCTGCAGGTCCAAGTCTTGAGATACGAAGCCCAAAGACAAAAACTTTATATTTAGATTTGACAACAGCTCATAGACCTGTAAATGTTTACCTTGACCTGCCTTTACCAAGCAGCAAAAGCCTAAGGTCCAAGCACACAGCTCCCCGGATCGGAGACGCGCTGCATGCACCTCGAACCACAGCTTTGCGGAGCTCGGAAATACATGGCGCATCATGTTCAAGTTCGGCCCAAACTTTCCAGCATTGCCCTGAAATCGGTGGAGGTATAGATCATTATAGATCAATAGTTTCTTAAGTTCGTCCCGCCCTAAACTGCAAAATAATAGCAACGATCCTCCAACACTGCGGGGGAGATCAACAGTCTGCACCTGGGCGATGGAGGCTGCTGCGATGGGTTTGGGGTCAAAGCTCTCAAAGAGGTCGCTCAACTTCAAGCCGAGGTCCTGCCGCCGACAATGAGATAACAGATACTCTATGTGGGAGGGGAGGTTGCTGAGAAGGATTGAGAAGGTCTTCTTCGATTTTTCCACTGGTTCTGGATATTCGGGGGTGAGCAGCTGTTATATGCAACATCCGATACAGAAGTTTCCCGTGCAATGCCTGGGCCTAGTAATGGAAGGACGGAGACGTGGCCAAAACCACTGAGAACAATGCAACAGAACAACTGTAGGGCCAAGGCTCTATAGCTCTGTGGGACAAAGGACTAAAGCAAGGACTGTAGCAATAGCCCTCTGAGCAAAATGTCCACCACTGGCTACCTACCTCACCTCCAGCAGAATCCGCTCAACGTCATCCATCGGCGCCGGAGGTGTGACAGCCTGCTTGAACGCTTGGGTGTTCAAGTCAAATCAATTCAGAGATGTTTTGCGCCCTGAACGAAGCAAGATTGATATAATCTCAAATAGATCAAAGCAAAAGTGCCGAACTTCCTTGGTAACCACCCATAAGACCCCTTGATGTACCATGCACAGTCTCCGTTGAATGCACCTTGGTGTCAAGCTGGTCTCCCCATCTTTTTGAACATTTTAGAACTCATTCAATAAGGTCCCAATGTCTCATGGATAGCACATCTTTGTCATCGTTTGTCACCCCATCAAATGGCCGCTTCCTGCCTGGGCGAGGCTGCCTGAGATGTCATGCACAAGGAAATCATGTGGTTGGCAGTGGTTGGTACATGTTGGTACCAAATAGATCCAAATAGTGTAGCAAGTTGGTGTTGGCCTGTTCTCTCAGCTCAGAGTTCAAATGAATGAACATCAAGCATCTTAGAACATCGTTTCCGCACATGCGAAGAGCCAGAGGAGAAAGAAAGGACGACAGAATCGAAGCCAGAACAACAAACACATGGACAAACGAAAGATACAATGCGAGCGCAACTCCCTGGCATTCCAGACCTCGACATGCTCGCACAAAGGGCTCAGGGAAGAGTGCCGGTGAGTGTGCTACAACTTGTGCCATCTTGACGAAACCACCTGCGCGACATGGTGCGATGTCCAAGAAAGCAGTCCAGGGAGACCAAAGTTCTCGACTGAGACAACCCAGACCGGGCTTGCAAACATCAATCTAAGCAAGAAAAATCTAGAAAGACATAACCATTTGTCAGCAATACCCCTTCTACATCCTTCTACCAAGGTCTGCAAATACTTTGGCATCAAGGTTGCCAGGTCTCTGCTTTGCCCAACAACTGCCAGCTATCGGGTGCACGCCTCCTAAGAGGTCCAAGGCTTTGTGTGTCGCAAGTGCTGCAGAGCCTTTTGGGTCATGAAGTACATCAGTAAGACCTCAAAAGTCGGTCTCTGCTGAAGGCTCAAGAGTGGCTCTCTCTCTCTCTCTTTCTCTCTGTGTTTAATCACCGAACAACGTGAGCACCCAACTCACATGAAGTAGAGCCCGGCTCAGATCCGCTGTGCGTCCCACGAGCACCGGCCTAGGACAGCTGTCATTCTCGTTGAAGCAACACTGACTGTCTGGTTGACGTTTAGGCTTCTTTGTTCACCTAATTAGTGTGCATGTGATTGTTTCATCCATGATATTCCCAGCAAGCTTGGGAATGCATGAATTTGTATAGGAAGTTGACCAAAACACGAGTTGGAGAATGAATGGGCCACTTTGCAGGTCCCTGCGGAAATAGGCCATGCTCACGGTCACACTGTCACAAATGACCGATAATAATATATATATACTATAATAATATATAATATCATATATACAAGTAAATGATTGGTCATTGACGCATATGTCGAACAACACAACAGTATCTATATAGGTTTGAGAAGACTGCCCACAGCTTTTTGATGCATTTGGCAAGAAGTGTTCAAGCTGCTCAGGAGTTAACTGCAAACAATAGGCCATGTCTATTAAGGACAGTCAAGCAAGACAACCTTTGAACCCCTCTTCCAAACCATATGCAAAATGTTGCTAGCTTACAGGTGCCCACGTGCTTTGCAAGTGGCGGCAGGTCTGCCACAACAAACTTGGCCGTATCAGCAGCCAACCTGCAGACAGGATCGATGGTCATCTTCTAAACACAACTTGACTCGGAAGCGGGGTCCATAACAGTCCAAATTCTCTGCAGGTTTATGTTGAGGTTTCGGACGCGTCTCCAGCCGTTAATTGGCCAACGAAAATGAATCTGCAGATGCAGATTGTATCAGGCAAGTGCTAATTCAGTCGAGCCGAACAATTTGTCGAGAATCTCTGATTCTATGCGGCTACAAGCTAGCTAGGCTAGCGCTAGACTACACTGAGCATACTGAGCTGGTCGCGAGATCGAACACGACCCACGGCGATCGTCTCATCTCGACTCAATCGACGTGGGTGTGACGATGGGCGTAGCGCAGCCCTTTGGAGCCAAGAAGCCATGCCGCTTCCTGCAAGGGACTTTGCGGGCGTCTCTTGCGAGACAGACTTGATCTGTTTTAAACGACGCAAGATCCTATAGATCCTATAGCCTATAGCCTATTAATTACCTAGGTCTATCTGTTTCCTACAAGTTGCGTTGAACATTGCCCAGCTTGTGTGGCTGACACATGCAACACACAAGATCTGATGCCTTCCCCAGCAATCGGCCAGGTACACCAGAAGCCCAAGATGCCACCCTCAGAGCCATGAGCCAGGAGTGCTCGCAAAGGAAAGGATGTTCGAAGATGTCGGAAAGGTTTCTTTTTGGAGGAACGATCTTTCTGGCTTCCGGAGCATGTGTGGAAACTGCACAGCTACCGTATCCCCTTGCCGCCCTTGCCACGGATGCCCATCAAGTTGGATTGGATGAGGTGATGAAGTAGATATAACAACCCCCCTTAAATATTGTCTCTGGGTGTGGACTATTCCTTTCGGAGGGTATAAAATGTAGCATAGAAAAGTCCACGTTCAAGCAAAACTGCTTATGACTTGGCATGTGGAAACCATATGTTGACAAGCCAGGAGATTATCAGATACATGAAATGACGGCTTTTCTACCTCTGCTAGACACATTGTATTGAAATGGAAACGCCCCACTAGTGTACCGAGAGTCTTTGGATGATTTGGCAGAGCTCACCCCAACACATAGTGTGCCAAGCGGCCCCCAGGCAGTGCCAATGGCGCTGTGAACCTGCTTCACAGCTCCATTTAGACGCTCCTGGGCAGAAACCTCAAGATCAGACTCTCTCAAGTCTCCCAACTCTCAATGGCCAGACTGCTGTTTTGTTCGTGTTTGCAAACTGTCAATGGATCTTCGATTCGACGTTTTCTCGAGTGTAACAGCAGAAGATGCTCCTTCTCCCTCATGTCAACTCTTTCAGAAAGAACAAAATGCAGAAAAAATGCTTGGAAGCATTCACAGGCCAGCATATGCAACCCCTACAATTGAATTACCGCATGCTGGTGCATCAGTCATACCGCTGAGGACTGAGCTGCCTTCTCGTAGGGCCTTGAAGGAAGCTTAACACAATATTGAAAATGATCCGTGTTACAGTTTTTTGTCAAAACTGAGTTCTTCAGGTCTAAGGCCTTCCCCTTGACCTGAAGATCGAGCAAATCAGAATGAAGCGACCATTCTTCAATCTAGTTTCGACCGGTTTCTTCACTGCTCAACCAGACTTGGTGCCATGCCATGACAACATCTCCAAAAGCTCCAGCGTGGCCGCACTACATCACCAGGCTGCAGCACAGTTGACTAGCTACACTCCGATGATAAGACTTCTCATGTGCTCCTTTCACAAAGCCATTAGATCAGCTGCCTTCCACTTGAACACATATTGCAAGTTGCTTGCGTTGTGAAACTCAGTATGTGGTCGACGCCACTTCTTTTGCATAGTGTTCTTGCATGCTTGGGCAGGGACAACGGCAATCATACTGTGTAAAAACGCATAGTCATTAACGCAAGCTCTTTTCCTGCTGTCAAATGAGGCAAATCACCACTTGCAGAAATTGTACCTAGAGTCACACATCTTCAAGCTATGATGATCTCCCAATGGCAAACATTGTGATGTGGCTGAAACATGAAGAAACTACGATACACTACGTCTCTACATCCGTGAGGGCTTGTTGTTCGCCATTTAGATCTTTGAACAATCGAAGGACCGTGACGGCGAAGGACTGAGCAGGCCGGGCGTTCTCGCAAGCCTAAGTCCCCAGAAGCATCGTTCAAGAGCCATAACAGTCTCAGATCAAAACGATTCCCAACGATCCTTTCAAAGCTCAAACTTCAATTGTCTTCAAATAACTCTAATGTTGTGTCTCACGCTAGGGAAACGGCGTGGCGAGCAGCAGGGCGCGGGTGAGGCGAAATGCCATCGCTTGACTAATGCTGTTCACAGTTGTTCTGTTTTGACATTCACCCGCTTCTATTCGTCTTGTCACGTCCCATAGGGCCAGAGGATACAAAATGTACAAATTGAATGGCGAAAGCATTGCATTGGCGGTAGCACTGCATTGGGAAGTACAAGGCTTTTGCAGTAGGAAGGCTATCTCGCATAGCAGCAGGAGATTGCATCTGGTCCCCAGTTTCGAAGGCGAACTACAGGGTTACAGGGTGCAGGCTATTGCAGGGTGGCTTCATCTGAACTTGATTCTGAGCCTCGCAAAGCCTCGCTGAGAAGCCCTCGAGCACCTCCTATGAGCCCATTCTCAGCCCCAATGGTACACAACCCCCTAGAGAAATTACTCCTTTTTGATTCAATCATGTAGGCCTCTCCATCACTGCGTTGATGATATACCAATGTCTCAACAACACAAAGGGCGCAAAGGGCAAGTAAACAGAAGAAATAGCACACCACGAAGCATCGCGCAAGCGTCACAGGTGGCACTGGTTTTCATGCTGGAAGGCCACACAATAGCAAGGTCAGCCCTTCAGGTATGGCCTAGGTGATGAACCCAACTGCAAGCCTAGCTACTAGCTTGCTTTTCTTGCAACATGTCAGATCAGTCCTTACTTTGCTCTTAATCTAATTTGCTTGAACTGGTCTTACGGTCATACTCAAACTGATTGCAACAGTTGAGAAAATGATTCATGAAACTGAGCACATTGCCTTAGCAGCTTTGCGGCTCCGCGGAAGCAAGTGCTGTATCTCTCGCAGGAACTTGAAGAAGTCTGAGCGGGTGTCCTGCCCATTTGTGCCACAACAGAATTGTAAGTTGTCTGATAACTGGCTGTTTCATAAAAACATGTGCAGAAGCTTTGTCATGATTCTCTGTGCGATGCGGAAATGTTGGCATGTGACACCCTTCAAATCCCCCTAATAGGCAAAACAGTATATAGGTAGTTCTATATAACTATATGTATATACTGAAGCGGCTTGCTTAGAACACACCCCTAATTGGACTCTTTGCTTCAAGTGAGAGTCCAAAATTGAGGCGTTGAACGGATGCTTGGTGTGTGGTAGAGTCAGTGCTCCAAAGTCTTGTTGAACTGATTTCCCGCTAACCGCTAAACGAAACAAACAATTAATTTAGGATGCCTATATTTATATAAGGTAATCTTTGGCATGTCTTGGTTGAGAGATTTTTTGAAGGCTAGAGCAAATCCCTGCCGTCTGTGTTCAACCTGGAACAATCGCACATCCAAGTCGATGGCGTGATTTCGGGCTGGCACACCTGGGTGGTTTTGGAGTTTTCCCACCCCACTCAAGCCCAAGTAGAGTGGGCGCCTACCTGCCTACACATGACCAGGTGTTACTAAAATGACCCCAACAGAATCTGTTCGTTTCAATTGAACGCCACGACCCTCAACACGAGCAATGCCCAACCTGCAAGGTCAACACATCCCGCCGCTTCACATCTTTCGCCAAGTCAAGCAGAACGACTCCAATCTTCGACATCTCTATGTGCCCCTCCTGGGCTTCAGTTGCGCGCTTGGGTCGCTGGTTGAAGTTGGGTCTGGGCTAGAACAACCCACCGAGGCGTTGCGAAGCCCACCTTTTTGATATTTCATGAATACAAAGGATCTCCAGCAGTACAAAAAAACTACAGAGACCATAAACTTGTGACGAGAAACGGCCTTCAACCTCGAAAGTCTTGCCGGAGTAGCAACTGCCAGAGCTGTGCCCTGCTCCAAAGCTTTTGCCTCTGCAGTGTGACAACTACTCTGAGGAAAGAATGACGCGTGGCAGGTGGTCTAATTAATCGTCTAATAAAAACCATCCGACAAATCTGTAATAATTGAACTTCATGTAGCCATTCATCTGCAAGTCCAAACTTGTCCAGATTTGTAGCCACAAAAATCACACTTGCAATGCATGAACAAAAACACAAGTCTCTTGACCACGGGTGTTCTTGAACTTGAACAAACAGAAGCTCCGCAGCACCTGACGTAGCACTTGGTCTTTCTTTCGTCCACCTCCATGGGCAGCCAAGGCCAAGGCTTTGAGGTGCGGAAACGCCGCATCCCAGGCGGCCTGGCAACGAGCAATGAAAAGGTTCTTCAGTTTGTCGGGGGGGGGCAGGCCGTAGTAAACTCAAGTAGCTGGTAGTAAGGGGTTTAAGTAGTAGTTTAAGTAGCGTACTACCTTGGACGCAGAAGAGCTCTAGCTTCTTCAAGCAAACTCCCAGCATTTCAGATACATGGGGTAGCGTTTTCCATGTGAATGAATGACCGCAATGTCTTTCATTGCCACCCCATGCAATCAAAGCAGCTCATCAACAAAAGGTCTGTCTGTTGATTCATTCTGAGCTTAGAACTCCGATGATTTGGGTTCTTCTAGAGTACCTGTTGAAATAGAGCAGCTAGGGAAAGCATGGGAAATCCAAATAGCTGTGGCTATACCTGCCTTGATTGCAAAAACGCGATCTGTAGACGCGCAAAGTGCCAAGACCTTCACAGAGCCTTTCTTTGGCCTCGGAGACCATCACCAAAGCTTCATGGAAGCGAGAGACCACCCATGGTAGTCAATGGTAAGCCCACCATCAGAATGTTCAAAACACATCAGAATGTTGGTCGCACACCGTAGCTAACATGCAACGCGACATATATATACAATATGTGTGTATATATAGGGCATGGTTTTTTTCAACCCGTTTTGGGTTCCATTGACTGTTTGGAGTAGGGCTCTTTTTGACCCGTTTCAGGGTTCTTTTTTGAACTGCTTTAAGATTCCTTTTTGACCTGTTTTAGGTTCTTTTTGGCTCGCTTGTTCTATTCTGACTGTTTGGTGCAGGGCTCCTTTTGTTACCTGCTTCGTTTGTTCTATTCTGTCTCGTTTGTTATTGACTGTTTGGTGCAGGGTTCTTTTTGACCCGTTTTAAGGGTCCCTCCTGGCCCGTGTGAGGCGCACCTTTTTTCACACGCACTTCTGCCCCTCAACGGGCGGGGGTACAGGAGCGCGACCTGCGACGCTTCTGGCGCCCGCGTCGCATAGTACAGCATCTTCTTGGAAGAATGCAGTCCGGCTTTCGGACTCGGTCCGAGGATGTTCGATGATCTGCCTCAAGCGTCGCATAGTACAGCATCTTCTTGGAAGAACGCAGTCCGGCTTTCGGACTCGGTGATCAACGCTCGCTGCAGCGTTCGAGGATCAAAACCTTAATTTCCAAAGCTTTCCTGCGCCCAAAACTGAGACTGCGTGACCCCCTGTGTCTGCATGGGGTCTGACGCTACCAAGAACAAACGGATGCTTTGGAGCCTCCAAATTTGCGACTTCCACTCACATTACGACGCTGTATGTCCCGTGGAAATAGCGCACAGGACATGTCTTGTGATCATCCTAGCTTCATCTGGCAATCGCGTCACCGTGCTCACAATCGACAGACTCCGCCGACGACCAGCCTCAGCTAGATCACTCGAACGTACATCGACAACCCTTCCGTGCTCTACCGATGTCTTCCAACAAAAAATTCTTCCATCCCAAAAGCTTCTTTAAAGGGAAGGTGTTCAACATGTCTGGGAAGGTGTGCAACATGTTTGTGCCACGTGTGCTGAAACTATTATGAGCACGGCGTTGCGAATTCCACTCTCATTGCGACGCTGTCTGTCAGTGGAAAAAGAACACGCCCGCTCTCGTAAGTGGTTGCACAGGACATCTTGTGATTCAAGCTTCATGTGGCAATCGCGTCGCCATGCTCACAATCGAAGCACTCCGCCCACGACCGGCCTCGGCTAGATCAACCTTCTGTGCTCTACCCATGTCTTCCAAAAAAGCTTCTTCCATCCCAAAAGCTTCTTTAGGGAAAGTGTGCAACATGTCTGGGAAGGTGTGCAACATGTCTGTACCACATGCGCTGAAACTATTTTGAGCACAGTGAGTGACACCACTCCAGGGGTCAACGCTTTATGGCCTGGATTCCTGCATTCATGTGTAACGATACAGATCCTTACCAAGGGTCTGTCATTCTGGTCGCACCACGTTCCACTGCTTGCTCTCGGGGCGGGTGCTGCGGCTCCTCCCGGGTTTACGTACGCACATACTGTCCAGCCACTCGACCATACCACACATTGTTGTCTTCTACGGGCAAACACAACTGGAAAATGTCTCCCCTTCTCCGCGGTTTCAACATTCATACGTTGCTTTCGTCCGGGGCTCGGCAGACTGCACTCCATCTTTGGATGACATGACATGAAGAGAGTAGGTTAGCACGACGAGTATCTCAGTTTCTGCTGAACGTGTTTGGCCACGCACGCTATCGACCCAACGCGAACAACAAGCACTTCATGATTCATGATCCAAGCTTCAGCTGGCACTCTTGTATCCATGGTTGCGATCGAAGCACTGCAGACGACTCCAAGGAGAAGCCTGATGGCAAAGGATGAAAACTACAAGTGTGTGACATCTCGCCTGCATCTGTCCTCAACATGGCAAGCGGCCTCCGCCGGCGCAGATGGTAGCCAAAACAAACTGACCAATCCCACCACGATTCATCGTTGGGGTAACATTTTTGCGTATTGTTTTATGATGCTGACTTTTTGCATTTTTAATCAACCTGCTTGCAAGCACACAACCCATTTCCAAACCAAAACAGGCCATCCATTCCTCATATGCTGGGGCAGCCCATGAGCGCCAAGAGCCAGGACATAGCCCGCCGAACACAAGCAATCACAATACCGACTTGCCTGGGACACACGCAAGAACAAACCGGTTCATGCAGTGATGCCCTTCCGGCCCTTGAGCACAAGTGCTCCGAAGAGTTGCTGTAGCAGGACAAAATGAAGTCAAAAAACTCAAGGAACTAATGCGTGTAACCATAGAGGTATCGGTCTTTATTCAGAACGGGTGCTCCTGGCAAAATGTTTTTCGTGCAAAATGATGCAAAAACACTGTGTTTTACAGTGGTTTCTTGCAAAAACCTCTCCAAATTTGCGGTTTTGAGCTATTGTTAGACCAATTTTGTGAGATCCAAGCCTATCACAGTTTAGAAGGAATACCAAAAAAAAACAAAAAACCACCCCCAAAAAAAAAACACACATCAAAAAAACAATGTTTGAGACACAATGGGGTCACTATTGGTTTTTGGATTTTGGCTGCATTTTGTGTCAAACATTGTTTTGTTTTGTTTTTTTGGCGGGGGGTTTGGTTTTTTGTTTTTTATATTTTGGAAAACTTTGTCGCACAGCAGGCATTGGTGATAAGTCTCGCAGTCTTTATTTAACATATGTCTTTTCTGAGACGGTTGCATAAATTTGAGGGTTTGTGCAACGGCTCTTGCCGAGTACTGGCGCCACTGCGCTTCCGACCGTGTCGCTATACGCAAGTGCTGCGTTGAAAATTTGGACGCTCTCACGCATGGCAGCCATCACTTCATTGCCTTCATGGCCTTCAAGACTCGCATGCTTCGATGCCCCTTACCCTTGCGCTTCAGGTTGCAAGCGTATGGCTTAGAGTTCTTGCGGGATTGCTTCTTCCATTTGAACTGATTCAAGTGCTCCGTCTTTCCAGCAGTCATCAAGTCATTGTGCC